TGGAAAGCTAAGGTACTTGCCAATAAGAATTTCAGAATTGAATGGATTCAGTTAGGTTTAGATCAGTAACACTTGATCACCAAGCAACTCCACTTTCTAAATACAGATTCACTGTCAGTGGTAGGCTTAGAGTTTCAGAATTACCTGAGGAACTTTAAAAAAACAGATCCCTAGGCCTCAACCATTGAGATTTTGATCCAGCAGATGTGGGGTGAGATCCAGGAACCTGCATTTCTAAAATGCTCCTCAGGATTTCTAATATACAGCTAGGCTGCAGACATCGGTACTGAAGAGTCCCAACTTATAGGTGGTGATTTGTTGTTAAAGTAACAAGGTGGAGGTATAGAATCATAAAATTTTAGCATGCGGAGGACTTTAGAGAACACAAAGTTGAAGCACCCTATTTTGTTCCATCAGGAAAATTAAGAGTCCTGATTAGCTCACAGCCATACCAGTCATGGCTGGATCATTTGCCTTCTGGCATTTCTTATATGTGTTACCTCCTCTTGTTCTTTATAACTCATATAGGTAATAGATCTTTACTTTAAGCAGACATATTTTAATCAACCTAAAAGCACTAACTACTTTTTATACCTTGTTGTATTCTGTAAGAGGAACTCAGTGGATGCTTGAAGAAAGAAGGATATATGCATTGTCTAGAGGTCTCTTCATAGCTGCAGGGGTATCTTCATAAAGCTTCCTCAGGTCTTAGTGATCATAAAAGATAAAGACCACAACTTTTCCATCACATCATTTCTCATAGAGGGAGTGGCTGATATATGACATGTGAAAGCAGGACCACTTTATCAGGTAAAAGAATTACTTAAAGAGCTACTTTTCTTGGAGTCATTGAGTCAGGTTAAAGTTTCTAGGTAATAGGAATCTATATAAGAGAATTGAAAAGTTGCTTCAGGGACAACTGGAGGGAAAAAATAGTCAATCTCCAGTTTAAGGTGTGACCTAATCTCACAGCTGTCACCCGGATGGTAGTTGCTGCCTACTATTTATAAACTAAGGGTTAAAAATACAAGATGACAAAATGTTCTAAACACGACGCAAAATAAATTGATCTAATGGCCCAAAGTTTAGTTCAATAAGTAAAATGTAAAATTTTATCTTTCTAAAGTAGGATAAGGCAGTGCAAAGAAAGATAAAAATGAAATAAAAGTAAGGTATAAAGAATTTCTAAGTGAATAAAGTAGAATCAAAGTGCTAAACTAAGACAAGATGCTATAAAAAGGAAAATAATTTGAAAGACTAAAACATAAAGAGGAAAAGTCTAGGGAGACTAGGGACTAACAGATAAAAAGTTAAAAACAAGAGAAACACAGTAGTTGAGATTCCAAATAGGTCTGAGCTAAGAGAAGGGCAAAAATGGAATAAAAACGAGAAAAACTGGGTAAAAATAAGATTAAAAAGATAGTTTCTAAAAAGAGAAGCAGCTGCCCAGTGTCCATGAACAGAAGAAAGGACAAAATCAGATTCATACACATAATGGAATATTATTCATTTATAAAAAGAAATAAAGTTCTGATATATGCTACAACATGGATGAACCTTGAAAACATCATGCTAAGTGAGGCTAAGCCACTGAACTGTACTCTTAAAAATAGTTCAAATGGCAAATTTTATGTTACATATTTTACCACAATAACAGAAAGCCAAAACAGACTAAAAGAAAAACCACTATGCAAAGAAACAGTTAAAACCAGAAATTAAAATCATAAAATATTGCAAGAATATCACCCTCAGATGTAATTTAAGGAACCTAAGAAGTAAAGGTAAGTGAGCTATGTCACAGTGGAAGCAGCACAAATAGATAATTTACTCTCAAAGAAGCAGGATGACCATATAATTTACCATTCTAACCAGGACACTTTTGAGAGGAAAGGGGAAATTATTTATAATTACACAGGGACAACAGGTGGACTGGGACTGTCCCAGGCAAACCAGGATATGTGGTCACTCTACATATAAGGGCAATCAGGTCCTCAAGGTTGAGTTCTGCCACACAGCTTGAGGTCTGGCAGAAGTGTGATACTCCGAGAGTGTCTTCATGAAAGATCCAAGTGATCAGAAATGCATGACTGTTTTTCTTTTCTTTTTTTTTTTTTTTTTTTACAGAAAAATAACACACAATTACATAGCCTTTACTGAAGTTTACTAATTTGGGATTCATAAAACAATTAGCATATTATTAGATTTTATTAAGAGCTATAATTTGGTATTCTTGGAATTTTAGAAAGCTGAATTATGCTTTCAAATGCACTGGCAGGCACACTAAGGAAGTCTTGAGTTGAATCATTTTTAATAAATCTATATTTTTATAGATTACATTAGAGCTCTATAAATATATGTATATATTCTTTTATACTTATATTTGACTACAGACAACCAGAAAATTTTGAAAATCGAGTAAGGATTATTAAGAAATATAGTACTGATATTCTAACCATTCTTTATTTTTAAACTAAAATTAATCTTAATGACCTACAAATAGGTTAACTTAAACAGTCCATACCTTATGTGAGAAGCTCCGACTTGGGATGTTTCTTGCTAACTCTGATATCTTGGGTTTAGTCTGCAGACACTTGTTTAGGTGATACTTTTTCAATTTTATTCTATTGTAATAATGATCAGCGAAGTTACAGTGATTCAAATGCTGTTTCTGCATGCATTTCCCAAGGTGAGGAATACTACACTTCAAAGCTTGGAGAAATAATTTGGTCTTCTGCTGCATGATATCAAAGTCCCTGGTTTATTCTTTTTTTGGGGCTGCCAGCACATGAATGATTTCTTAGGTATCATTATACAGCAAAGGGTTCTCATCCCTCCCCTTCAGAGCCATGTACGCCTTAGGTTATGAATAACTTCAGAATGCTGATAAGTTACGTTAAATAAATCTAAAAATTTATATGAGTTAAAGTTTCATTCAAATCAAACTTCTTGGCAGATGTGACTTAAATGTCTCATTTGTAAGGTCAATTCTATCAGGCTCAAACTATGCAGCACTGATTCTGGTACACACAAGGGCAAACTAAAACAAAAAACAGAAAACAAGAAACAAAATAAAAATTTGTAAATAAGTACACAGACTTAATGGGGCATCTTAGGAACTCTGAGGGGTTTAAAAGGCAAAATGGCTTTGATGTTACATAGTTCTAGACATATCTTTGGTATGTATGTGGAAGATAAACTAGATAAGCCTAATGACTTAATAAAGGAATTATTAATAAAGGAATTATTAAGTAATGAGGGGGAGGAGAGATTAATATTTGTTGAGTGTTGACTATGTGCCAGATGCTTTTATCCACTTCGTCTAATTTAAACTTCATATGGACTTGATAAAGTAGTTATTATGATGCTCATTTTACAGGTGAGCAAATTGTGGCCCTGGGAGGTTTAAGCAACAGCCCCAGGTCACCTGGACAGTAAGTAGTATAGCAAAAAGTCCAGTCTGGTTTGGCTCCAAATATGGGATGTAACAAGCTATTGGACTTTAATGTTAAAAAGATATTTAGCTCTTTACTTAAAAAAAAAAACAACACTGTAAGATGTACAAATAAAATGTGAAGCCATCTCTCGTTTCTGTTGGGAGGCAGGTTTTATTAACCGTGATAGTCATTAAGTAGTTGAGGGTCAGACTTGGGTTCAGGTGTTGGCTGCTGCACTTAACTACCTATGTCTCTGGGCCTCAGTTTTTTTAGCTGCAGAAATGAAATAATGACACCATTTACCTTCCAGGGTAGTTGTTGTAAGAATAAAATGAGACTGTTAAGACCTTAATATATTGCCTGGCACATAGTGACCACTCAAATGGTAGCTACTATCATTAAGACAAGAATAACCTAGCTATGTTGCACACTGTTGAATGTCATCATGTAAGTGTTCCATAAAATGCCTCTTGGTATCAAAGGCAGAATACTGCGTCAAATTTACCACCGATTCGATCCGCTAGGACGCCCCCACCCCCTTTAATCTCCACGTATGTCGCAGCAAAATAACGGGCCAGTGGGACTAAGGGAGCAGAAGCCAACACTAGCAAGCAAGAAAAAAGAGGCCCCGAATAACAAGGGCCCTCAAAGGCCCTAAATCACTATATCTGTCTCCACAGCCTCAATCCATCCATGTTTCATTTACAGAGAGAAAATAGAATGCAAGGCTAGCGATGGGGGTGGGGTAGACACATGGGTGTTCCCAGGAAAACCTATTCATTTTCCCTGTGCAACTCTCCACCTCAGGTCTGAGTGCAAGAGAGTGGGAACAGGTGACGCAGTGATGGGACACGGGTCAAAAAGCAAGGACCAGGGGGCTGAAGGGTGGCTGGGTTAGGGAAGGAAGGGGAGAAGAGACCACCAGCACATCCCCAATACGTACGCAAATTTAAAGAGTCAGTCTGGCTCTGCACACAAACGAGTGAAGGCAGGCTGGAGAACCCGAAGCTCTCAGGAAGGAGCAGGTGTCACCCCAGGCGCGTCCAGTCGAAGTATGCGTCTTGCAGCCTGCAGAACGACAACCTACCCAGAGCCACCCGGAGCCGGCGTGCAGCACGCCGATCTACGTAACCCCAATCTGGCACGAGCAGTAGGCAGATTTCGCCATCTTTATTGTGGTCAAGGATTATTCTTGGGTTGCCGGGTTCTTTAGGTTTCAAGGATAAAAGCTTTTTGGTTCTTTGCTAGTCTTATGAGCTCGAAACGAAGCAGGGGAGAACAAAACCAAGAGGGACAGCGTCCCACTAGCTCTGGTACAGCTCTCTCAGGCGCTGATCTGCCCTCACTCAAGATGGCCACCAGCAAAATGGTGCAATGGCGTGACAGCGCTGCCCTGGTTGCCAAGGAGACGCGAGTACCGGAAATGCGGAATTCGGGGAGGGTGCGCACGCAAAGGCGGTAAGGGAGAGGCTGGGCGTCACAGGTCCTGACAGGGAAGAAGTAAGGCAGGTCCTGGTAGGGGAGAGCTGTGGCGGCGCCACCTCGAGTGTAGGTAGCTCCAATGCGATGGAGTCGCAAATCGCGGACTCTGGGGCTCGTGAGACTGCGCTAGCCGCAAGCGGGGGTCCGGCAATGGGCAACACCGCTGGGGGACCCACAGTCTCGGCGCCCCTGGGAGCAGCCCGGTGGAAGCTCCTGCGGCAGGTAAGGGAAAGCCCGCTTGCTTCTGGCCACTCCCCTCACACTTACTAGCCGAGCAGCCGGCCACAGCTCTCTCTCCTTGGCAGCTCTGGGAGCTCCCTCTCAGTTTGCCGCGTGCCACCTGAGAAGCGCCCCCTTGCTTCACCTAAGCGTCCCACCAAAAAGGAGGAATCTGATGGAATTGGGCGGGGAGGGGGACAGCCATGACTGAGCTCCTGGGAAACTCGGATCTAAGTAGAAGAACCTCTTCTAGACATTTAACTACGTCGAGGGGACTTTCCTGCTTCTGTTTTGCCTCCTTCCCCAGGTTTCTTCTTCTTGCTTCTTAACTCCTAGCCTGGTTCTGGTTACCGATGCCTAGTCTGCACTCTCTGGCCCTAAGTCTCTTGGAGATCAGCGTGGTTGACTGTGTTGGGACTCTGACACTGCACGCGTTCCCTCGGGTTCTTCCGTATAGCGGAGAGTGAAGAGAGTAGGAAGAGCGCGCTCTCTCTCTTTCTCTCTCTCTCTCGTTTCCCAACTATTGCGATTTTACTTGAAATTGTGCTTTTAGTATTTTGGGGGTCACTTTGTTTGCAATTGTCTCAAGTCAACTTTTCGTAAGTGATCTTTTAGTGCTGTTAAGACATAACTTAGCGGAGTTATGAGTTAAGTAAATCATTAGAATTAAGTACAATCATTTCTTTGCTCATGCATTGGCAGTTTTTCCAGAGCATTAATGATCTGGTTTTGCTATTAATGTTACAAATTATTATAGGGTAGCAAAATGCATAAACTCATAGATCATCATAGGACCTGTCTATGGCGAAGTAAACATATTACAATGGAATTATCAAAGCAGTAAATTAGGGTCTTAAATTAATCAAAGCTTCATATGTCTATTGAGAAACACACTACTATTCTCTTTTGCTGTTCTATGACATGACTTCAGTAATTGTTAGTATAGGAAAAACTTAAGGTAACCATCACTTATTTTCATTCAAAATTGCAATCTAAATCAGAACAATGACAAGTTTCAGCTATGGCTGTCATATGAACTCTCCACACATTTTGACATTTAATGTTTTGGTATATGTGTGCCTGCTTAGAGTCTTATCCTCTTCTTTACTCGGTGAATGTTCATCTTTCACACCTTCATTGCAATCTACTCTTCTGAGGAGCCACTCCTAATGCCTCTGGGCTGAGTTAGAACCTTGGTCCACTTTACCAGTGAACCCCTTGTCATATTGTTTTGTGATCATCTGATCAGAGTTTTACTTTCTCACTAGAATGGGTGTTCTCTCTGGGAAAAGATGATGTTTTATTAATTTCCATCCTTTGGTACCTAGCATAGGGCCTGGCTAGTTGGTTTTTAGTGGATATTGTTAAATGTTTGTGGAATACCTGAGAGTAAGGACAGTCTTTAAGTGGCCCATAGCACCTAGTCCTTAGTGTATTGTATCAGCTATTGTGAGTAATGAACAACTACAACATCACAATGTCATACAACAGTATTTATTTTTTTTGGTACATCTAGGGGCCACATGGGAGTCAACTGACCTAGGCTGTGGTCACCTCAGTAGCTCTATGCTGCACGTTTGGTACACATACCTCTAATGCTTGGACTAGTTGGCCGACATGTTCCCAAAGTGATGGCAGAGGTATAAGAGAGCAAGCCCAACCATGGAAACACATTTAAACCCCTGCTTGTATCATGTCTTTTAAGATGCTCTTGGGCAAAGTAAGGTACTTGGCCAAGCCCCAAGTCAAGCGGTAGGCAGGTATAACTCTCCGTGGAGGTGACAAGGAGGAAGTGAATATGTTTCTATAATAATCTAATCTATCACATATATTAAAAATTTGTAGGCTCTTGGTAAATATGTTTCAAATAAACAGACCATTCATATCTTATATGCATCTAGAACTGGAAAACTGAGGAATCAAAGCAGTGCTAGAGATATGCTACTCCTTTTTGTTCTCTTATTGGACATCTTCGACATCTGCTTCTGTCTGCTTGTTTTCTCACCTATAATTCTGTCTTTCCGTTACCCTGTAGTGGTCCAGTGCAGTCTCATGGCCCTTGACTTTATGTTAACTGTTCAATATTTTCTATGTTTTGTAATTTATATTTTGGAGAGAAAACCTCATTGACCTAGTTCATCATTTGGTACCAGGTCACATGATAAGTTGCCGACATTTGAGTGTAGTGTGTGCTTAAATTAGATGAGGTCTGGAATTCTATGAATCAATACCAATACAGGCTATGATTGTACTATTTTCTTCTTTGTTGAGTCTCATTACCTAATGTCAAAGATGGCCATTGGCCATCATCCATCCAGCTAGTAATCTACAAGAAATAATCCTTTTCCCCAACATATCATTTCCTCCAAATGACTCTGATAGGCTAAGTTTGGACCAATTGCTGTGTCTAGAATGGGACACTTTGGCTAACCTGGGTGGTCAGCCCACCTGGTGGCAGGGAAGGTAACAACCCCACCAGAATTACATAGAGTAAGGGAGGGGCATTTCCCAAAAGTAAGGGATGTAGGGCAGATGAAAAGTAGCAATGACCATTACACACTTACACATGTATTCACGAACACCTACAGACTCCTCTTACGTAGGAGTCTGAATACTTGGCTAAAGAATCTGATTAATGGAATATTTCACAGTACAACTCATATTAAAGCTGGATGCTTTTACCTGGATTGGTTAATTGAAAAAGTTGGTTAAAGAGGTGAATCATAATAATGATCCATATTCTAAAGTGAAGTTATAGTCTTACTGCCAAATCCTTCTATGTGTTTATAATTCTTCAAATTTTTATAGTTGGCTTCCCACACATAAATCGATAGTAAATTTTTAAACAACTTACCTTTATCTTTCCAAAACATTCAGTTTAGTTTTTATGGAAGCAACAATTCTCTTTTAGTACTATTTTATTAGTTTTATAATATTAATGACAAATATTTAATTGTGACGAATTTGTTACTTTGAAGTACAACTGATATAAAAAGGTTTGTGGAGATGTACAGTTAACTTGGCAAGTATCCAACTTGACATGACATCAGATACTTCTGGAGCTTGATCCAATTCTAGTTCTACCACTTATTGTGTGGCTCTTTATTGATCTCTTGTATCAAGTATTAGATGTTTATTGAGTGTACTTTTGTTTTATGTTTATTCTTGACTTTATTTTTTATCCCTACCTTTGCTTTCCCTTTTTCTTTTTCATCTACTTTTCATGAATGTTATCTTGTTGTATTGTGCATCTTTTTAAGCCACCTTAAATTCTTTTGGTAGCAGATGTGACATACTAAGTCATCTGTAAGCTATGGGAATTTGGATGACTTTTTACTTTTTAAGCTTCAGTTTCCTCTTCATTTAAGATTTTTTTTTTTTTTCAGAGATGGTCTTGCTCTGTCGCCCAGACTGGAGTGCAGTGGCACGATCATAGCTCACAGTAATCTCAAACTCCTGGGCTCAAGTGATCCTCCTGCCTTAGCCTCTCCAGTAGCTGGAACTAGGGTGCATGCCACCATGCCTGCCTAATTTTTAAATTTTTTGTAGAGTCGGAGTCTTGCTATTTTGCCCAGGCTGGCCTCGATCTCCTGGCCTCAAGCGATCCTCTGTTTATAGTCAAACAGCCTGGATTTTAACCTGGGGTTACCTCTTACTAGCTGTCTCACTTTGAGCAAAATTACTTAACTGCCTTGTGTTCCACCTGCCTCTTTTATATAATGAGTATCTATCCCAGAGGGTTGTTTGAAGATTTAATGAAGAATGTGGTAAGATTTGCATTAATTCTTACTTAGACATTTGGTATAATTTTCTGGTGAGCAATCTGGGCCTGGAGTTTTCTTTGTGGTTAGTTTTTTATTTGCAAACTCAATTTTTAAAATAGGTTGGGACTATTCAGATTTTTCATTTTTTCTTGCGTCAATTTTCATAGTTACGTTTTTCTAGAAATTTGTCCATTTCACCTAAATTTTCATAGTTAATTTTCCTAATATCCTTTTACTATTATTTTTTAATGCTTACAGGATCGACAGTTGTCTCCCTATATCACATTGATACTTAAACATACTCTGTTTTTCCTCTTGGTCTTATCAGGGGTTTATCTGTTTTATCCATCTTTTCAAAGAAACAACTTTTAGTGTTGATCCTTTCTCCTATATGTTTGTTTTCTACTTCATTAACTTCTCTTTTGGGGACCTAATTGGCTTCTTTTTCTAATTTTTGCTTTGAATGCTTAGCTTATCAACTTTTGGCCTTCTTGTAAATTTCCCTGTAAGCTTGGATTTAACTATATTTCATATATTTTGAAAAGTATTTTTATTATCATTCAGTTCAAAATACCTTATTATTTTCATTGTGTGTTCTTTTTTTGTTTCATAGGTTATTTAGAAATATATTGCTTAATTTCCAAATATATTTGGCTTTTCAGATATCTTTTTATGTTTGTTTGTTTATGAGTAAGAAGGTATCTTATGTCTTTAAAAATTTTCTATCAGGGAACATGTCAAACATATACAAAACTGGAGAGAATAGTATAATAGTGTAATAATCACTCAGGTATCCATAAGCTTCAGCAATTTTTAACTCATGACCAACTTTGTTTCATCTCTCTTCTCCCATTATCCTCCCCCTCTGTTATTTTGAAGCAAATCTAAGATACAATTTTTTTCCTGGAAATATTTCACTATGAACCTATAAAAGATGACATTAAAAAGCATGACAATACCATATCACACCCAGAATAATTCACCGATGTCATGAAATATCTTGTCAGTTTTCAAATTATCCCCATTATCTCATAATTTTTTTTATAATTTGATTATTTTGAAATAGGATCCAGATATGATCCAAACATTGTTATTGGTTGATATGTCTCATAGGTTCTTTTTTTTTTTTCATAAGTTCTTTTAATCTATATGTTCCCTCTGCCTGTCTCTTTTTCACCCCTTGCCATTTATTGAAGACACTGGGTTTTTTCGGTCTTAGAGTGTTTCCTATAATTTGAATTTTGCTAATTGCACCTTTATGGTATTGTTTAATGTGTTCCTCCATTCCTTGTATTTCCTATAAGTTGATAGATACAGAGCCTTGATTAGATTCAGATTTGATGTTTTTCATCTTGTTTAATTAGTCAGCATAGTGGTGGTGTCAGTATTTATCGATAATCACAGTGATGTCTGGTTATTTCCCTTCTTGATGATGATTGCCTAGGTTCATGAATTCATGAGGGGGTTGAAAAATGGTGGTATTCTAATTCTGTCATTCTTCATTTGTTACTTGAGATATTACTATAAAGAGAAACTTCCCCTTCTATTTCAATACTCTCAGTTACAATTCATATAGGGAAGAGATAAATACTTGATTCTTTCTCCTTATTTACTAGTTTTGAAAATAATAAGTTGTTTCTCTAGCATTCTTGATCATCCATGATGGTCATCAATGAGGCATTTAAAAATACTATCATAAACCAAAAATATGTTTTAATTCTATTGCATTTATTATTTTTATTAATATGTATACTGTCTTATTATCTTAGTCTGTTTTGTGTTGCTATAGTACAGCACCTGGGGCTGGGTAATTTATAAAGAAAAAGGTTTATTTTGCTCATACTTCTGGTGGCTAGAAAGTCCAAGACCATGGCACTGGCATCTGCTTCTGGTGGGGTCTTTCATACTGTCATAACATGGCATATGGTCAGAGGGGAAGCGGACATGTGCAAAGGGGCAAAACATAAGGGGTGTCCTCAATTTGTAACAACTCGCTCTGTGACAGCTTGTCTCATGAGCTCAAGAACTCACTACCACAAGAACTGTACAAAGCTGCCTATGAAGGAAGTGCCCCCATGACACAAATGCCTCCCACCTCTTAGGCCACACCTCTTAGAGGTTCCACCTTCCCACATTACCGTTCTGGGAATTAAGGTTCCAACATGAGTTTTGGTGGGGACACTCAAACCATGGCTCCCATCTTTGGCCAATGGACCCTATTCGAATTGGCTCCTGAGTTCTTTTGACCTAACCCATCATTTTTTATAGCTATCTTGTTTTCTTGTGTGCAGGATGTTCCAGGCCCATCTTGTACAATACAATTCCTGCCATTTCTTCAAGGAACCTTACTTTATTTTAATAAAAAATAGTATTTAGAAACAACAATGTGAGTATACTAAGTGTACTCATTGCTACTAATTTGGTCATTGTTTCTAGACCTCTTCAGTGGTCAGATGTAGGAAATATATGTATAGTTTTAAGAGTGAAATATATGTATTATGAAAATATATGTATAGTTTTAGTTTATATTATACTTGCTTTCAGATTCAGAGCTACAGGGTTTTTGCTTAACCTTATTAATCTTATAGTTGTATTTCTTTTCTCCCACACTTAAAAACCTGGTTTTCAATGACACCAACAAAAGTAGTCATTTGATTTATCCTAACATACACACTCACACACACACACACATCCCACCCCACCCTGCAGGCTAAGAATAATATACGTGCCCCTGCCTAAGTAAGCTTCGAAATTCAACTTTTATCTCCTAGCTTCATAGGCTGTTAAAGGTGCTACTTATCTTCTCAGTTCTTTCTTTTAGAATTGACAAATGTCTCAGGAGAAAAGTGGTTGCAAAAGTCAGAGTCACCTCTTTAGGTTTATCTTTCTTTAAAGATATCAGACTGGTAAATTTTCACTATCTCTTCTCTCTGATGTTCTCAAGTAATGTATGTAAATGTTTTGTCCATCTTTTCTCTTTAGTTGTCTTCAATAGGAGGTGTGTCTGAATTATCTAAATTGCCATTCTTGAAAGTGAAATTCCCTTACCACTTAAAATTTTGAACTTATGTTTATATAATAAACATCTTTGGTTTTATTTCAAAGGTTCTGAAGCAGAAACACGTGGATGATTGTCTGCGACATGTATCTGTAAGAAGATTTGAATCATTTAATCTGTTTTCAGTAACAGAAACCCAAAAAAGGGAAACTGAAGAGGAGGTCGGTGCATGGGTCCAATACACAAGTGTCTTCTATCCTGAACACAGTATCTCCTTAAGGTAATCATTATTCTAGTTAAGATTTTTTAAAACCAATTTTCTCTTGTAGAAGAAAAACAATCTAATAAGAATCTCATTATTCATTCTATTGAGTTTGCAGGCAATCTTTATAAGAACTTAGTTTTTGCAGCTTTGTGTTAGGTAATTCTGCTATTTTAACTGGATCTTGCGGTATTGTCAGACTAAGAAAAAATTCTTCAGGAATATAGTGGCACTTGAGGATAAGGTGAGTTGCAAATCAAAGGGTTCATTTAATCATTCTTTCATAGCATTTGATTATGACAAAAAGCCAAGTTCTTTTTGAGGCAAACAAGGCTGAAAGTGAACACGGAATTTTTCCAAACTACTCTTCAGGTAGTAGTTATATAAAAATCAAGGTTTGGTATTTTTCCCATTTATGTTTTGTCACTTTCAGAATAGACCATAAGACTTGGAGGAGAAAATACAGCTGAAAACACTGATATTATGAGAAGCATGAAGTCTGTTCTGGCTTTAAAAATCCTTAGAAAAGAGACATGGGAGTTGCAAACTGAAGTAACAAGATACCACTTTTACTGAATTAATTTTCTCTCACAGTTACATTCGAGCATGTTGCAATATTACCGTAGGTGTTTGATTTTATAAAATCTGCCTTTTCTGACAGGATTTCACATTTTGAAAGGGAGGGAGGAGCACATTTACAGTAACTGTAAGAAGAGCAAAAAACATTTTAAGTGGAAATGTGACTGAATAAGGTTTAGGTGAGGCTAGGAGTAATTTTAAGAAAAAAATTTTCACAAAGGATGTCTATTTATAGTATATGATTCTTGAACTATTTTGGTTTAAAATATCTAAGCTTTAAAAGATATCATAATAGCTAAAAATTTGGAATTTATATAAAAATTGACTAGGGCAGGCAGGGAAGAACAATTAGCATCTGGTTTTATAATATTATCTTACTGAAAATGCCAAATAAAATATACAAACTTAAGGATTTTATGTACCAGGTACAGAGCTAGGTTCTTTGATATATTCACTTTCATGTAATCCTTACAATAAGTTTGTGAAGTAGAAATGAGGATGATTAAACAGTTGGAAGATAGTATGTGTAAGGAAATTGAAGAGAAGGAAAAATAGAGTGATCCAGTAGGGGTCTTTAGGTATAAAGTTCTAAAACTTATCTTCTACATCCATTGGTGACAAGAGACAGTAAGAATAAATTGTAGCAAGAATTTATAATAACATTAATAATGGCAGACAACTGAGTGCCTACTACATGACAAGCACTGTTTTGAGTGGTTTCCATATGTTAGCTTATTTAATCCACACAACAACCGTACAAGGTAAATATAATTTTTATCCTCATGAGGAAAGTGAAGAACAGAGAAGTTAAATAGCTTGCAGCCAGTATGTGATCATGCCTGTATTCAAACTCAGGTAGTCCAGTTACACAGCATGTACTTGTAGAAAAACACTTTTTTTTCCTTAAGTGATGGAGTCTTGCTATGTTGCCTAGGCTAGCCTTGAATTCCTTGGCTCAAGCAATCTTCCCACCTATTTCGAAATACTAAAATGAGTCTACTTACAGACTCACAGGTAGTTGCAAAAGTAGTACAGTGAGTTTCATGTACCCTTTACCCAGCTGTTGCCATTGGTAACATCTTATATAATGTTAGTCACAGCCTGTACTTTTAACTTCTACACCATCCTGCTTCTCATGAGGCAGTGATGTATCCATTCATTCATTTCACAGATGAAGGAATTGAGTCCTAGATAAGCCAATTTCCTCATTGCTTATTTTGAGCATTCCATTTCTTCCTCCATAATCCTGTTATGATAAAGGAAATTACTGTAATTACTGAAACTGTTTAGGTATAGGAGGATTTCTGCCAAGAATAGTTCATTCTTTTCCATTGCCAATTTTGTTTACATGGATTTCTTACACGTTTACCACTTTTGCTTGTATTCTGTTATCTGCCCAATGTGGTTCTCCATTCTCGCACCTTTAATATCTCATATCAACTCTTTTCTCAACATGTTTTCATGACATTTCTTTAGCTAACTTTATCTATTTTTTTCAGTATTACTTGAGTTGTGAGCATTCTGAAGTTTTTAAAAAAATATTACTTGGCAATAGCCAAAAGTAGTGGTTTAGAAAGTAGTTTTGAAATGGAATACCATCATCTTCCTTTATATTTTTTAAGTTTGTTAAATCAACACTGTGGATGATTGAAAAAAAGTGATGAATAGTTTTAAATAAATTCAAACCAATAAATATTTAATAGCACCTTCTGTATAGATAAACAGAACTAAATGAAAGTATATAATACTATCCCGAAGGAGCTTAAATAATAAAAATAATCAATAAGGAAAGTTTACCATCCAATCCAAGAACTTTCACCAAGCAGTGCATAACTAATTTTAAATGGGTGGAAGACTTCACACTTAATAGAAGTTTAGAGCTAGGAGTGATTTTTTTTAAAAAATTAGGAAGTATTTGAAAGTTCTAGGAGAAAGGGAGAAATCTTTTCCAATGAAGGCAAAGGCGCAGAAAATATACGGGGTGAGAAAGTGCAAGGCGGAATCATCGGAGGTTACTGAGAAGGCCATCATGGCCTTTAGGGGGAGGAATAATTATCAGTACACATTATATGGTAGATCCACTGCAGATTCTAATAAAGGGCTAAACATTTGGGATATTATAGGTTCCTCATACATCATAAATGTAAACTCCACTTTGACTTTCTCAGTTCTTATCACCTGTGATCACCTGCCACAACTCAATAGAGATGACACATACAGAGTGATCAGTACTTATTATCAGTATTTGTTATTAGTTTTGTCTATCCTAAGCTTTCCCTACACATTGATTTCTATCTCTTTAAAGTCTTGTTAGAGTTGAAATGAATACCCTAAGAGGGTAAATACCTACATATTTGTGAATTCAAAGTACCTAGTGGTATCTTATTTGTATTACTAAGAGTTATAGAAGTAGTGACTGAAATTAAAACTTTTATCCTTATTTTCTATCAGCCTTATATGATGAGATTTAAAATGAAGGATAAAGAATTTCCTTTAGTGACTTTTCATCTGAAGCAAAAGTCTGAACAATGTAAAAGTTAGGTTATAAAATTCCCAGGATCTGTTATCTTTTCTGTATACCTGAGAATGGTTGACTCTTTGTTTCAAAGTAAGTATTGAGAGTTAGGAAATTAAAATCCAGGGTATGATTCCTAATTTATTCCTTGACAAAGTCTTCTTGTCTTTCTGGTACTTTATTTCTTAGAAGTTTATAGAAGAGGCTCTTGCTATTAGATAGATGCAAGTACAGAAAACTAAGACAGGCTGCGTGAGGTGGCTTACACCTGTGGTCCCAGCACTTTAGAAGGCTGAGGTGAGAGGTTGCAGTGAGCTATGATCATGCCACCACACTCCAGCCTGGGCGACAGAGCAAGACCCTGTTTCAAAAAAGAGAAAAAAGAAAGAAAGAGAAAAATGAGATACCAAGAGATGTTTATATTAAAATTCTTTCATTAAAAATTGTCTTTTCTCTGTCTTACAAACTGCTGTTTGTTATTGTATAGAGCTTGCTGTGTAGATGCTAGAATTATTCCCACCTCTTATTTCAATTTAATTTCAGCACAGCAGGAATTTGCATATTCTGGAAGCTTTAAAATACTTCCATTATATTTAGAGCCATAGAAGTGCCTGAGTTATTCATTTGTAAGTGTATACATGTCTTGGGTATAGAAAAAGCTGAGAGGCATGAACTGTCCTCCTTTCTTTGAATAAGACTACTGTTGCTATGGTAATTGCTGAATTAGAAGGCTAGAACTCTTGACTTTTGGCTAGTCCTGGGAGCTTAGAATGGGCAAGAAGTCAAGAATGACTTTTTCTTTGACTGTGGTACATCTTTCTAATCTAACAAATGCACTATGGCAGGATCATATATCGCTTCTCTAAGGAAAGGAAAAGACAAACCAAACCCTCACGCCACTGGTTTTAGTGTGTAGCTTATCAGTGTCAGTAAGTAAAAACTAGTAATGGGAATGGTTCACTTATGAAATTATTATTAGGTTATTAAGCTATTAAGATTATTAAGGTTTATTATTATAACAGATCTATGGCAGATTGTCCTTATGTGTGATGGTATATCACTGGTGCCCGTGTGGAGCTTAGCAAGGCTGGTGTCTAAGACAAATATGAATACTGAATTTATATTTAAAAGCAAAGTTTCAATGTTAGTGATATTAACAACAAAGGTGAATACTAAAACAACTTTTGTTCCCTTATTTAGAAGGAACTTTATAGGACCTTTAAAATATGATCCAGTGTTTTCAGAAAACTCTCGAATCCATTGTCACATTTTCATGCATCTTAAATCACAGACATGGACTAATTATAACTTAATTTTCTAGTTTGTTTTAAATTTCAATCACAATTGTTTATGTAGTTTGCTTACGTGTAAATATACTCAAAGTTTCAGTAAGTTGAAATATTACCTTGAACATTCTCCAAATTTTTATGTATTACATGTAGAAATCATCTAATTTCCTATAACTAGTGGATATAAGACTGGAAAACTTCTCTTTAGCCATTTATTTTTGAAAGAGCTCCACAGCAAATTACATCTAGAATCAAGTTTTTGAAACCTTTTTCCTTCTGAAAATGTGAAAGGAGGAATCTGCCCCAGTGACTTGCTCCTTAGTTCTTACTTAGTAGTCCATTTTTGGGAAGAAACTCAAAGGTCCTCAGTTCTAGGATAGCTTTAGGTACTCATGAAAAAAATTGGTTGGCCCTGGGGAGAAGAATCTGGCATTGGTAATTAAAGGCCTGGGAGATAATTTAAAGCTTCAGAGTTTAGGAGAAAGATGAAGTGACTTTTTATGCTCTAGTTGTGTTGGCAAAAAATTGTCATTGTCATATAACATTAATTATAAGTATAATGCTAAGACTGAGTTTGTAAGAACTTAAGTTTGAAAAGCTCTTTTCCTTATAGGTATTACTATCTTACCACAGAGTCCGGACAGGACCTAGGTAAATAGTTGAAAAATTAAGGGTAGAAAAGATCTTATAGAATTGACACTTGAGAGTAATTCTCGAGTTTGAAACAAATGAAAGGGAACTTGAAGCCAGGTGTAGTAGTTCTTGCATGTAATCCCAGTGACTTGGGAGTCTGAGGCAGGAGGACCACTTGACGCTAGGAGTTTGAGACCAGCCTGGGCAACATAGTGAGACCCTGTCTCTGAAAAATGAAAAAAATTAGCTTGGCCTGCTGGTGCACCCGTAGTTCCAGTTTCTTGGGAGACTGAGGTGGGACAATTGCTTGAGCCCAGGAGTTCAAGGCTGCAGTGAACTATGATCATGCCACTGCACTCCAACCTAGGCAAGAGAGTAAGGCCCTATCTCTAAAAACAAAATAAAAGAAAGCAAAATTAATTTAAAAAGCTCCTGCACAGCCAAGGAAATAATTAACAGAGCAAATAGACAACCCACAGAATGGGAGAAAATATTTGGAAGCTATACATCCTATAAAGGACTAATAACCAGAATCTACAAAGAACTCAAGCAAATCAACAAGAAAAAAATCAAAACAACCCCATTAAAAAGTGGGCAAAAGACATGAACAGAAGCTTCTCAAGAGAAGATAGACAAATGGCCAATAAACATATGAAAAATGCTCAATGTTGCTAATCATCAGGGAAATGCAAATTAAAACCACAATGAGATATCACTTACCCTAGTCAGAATGGCTTTTATTAAAAAGTCCAAAAACAGTAGATGCTGGCGTGGATGCGGAGAGAAAGGAACACTTACACACTGTTGGTGGGACTGCAAATTAGTACAACTTCTATGGAACTAAAAGTTGACCTACCATTTGATCCAGCAATACCACTACTGGGTATTTACCCAAAGGAAAATAAATCATTTTATCAAGAAGACACCTGCACTTGAATGTTTATTGCAGCACAGTTAATTCACAATTGCACAGATGTGGAATCAACCCAAATGCCCATCAATTCATGAGTGAATTAACAAGATGTGGCATACGTATATGATGGAATACTACAGAGCCATGAAGAAGGTTGACCTAATGCCTTTTGTAACAATGTGGATGGAACTGGAGACCATTATCCTAAGTGAAGTATCTAAAATATGGAAAAACAAACACCACATGTACTCACTATTAAATTGGAACTAACTGATGAGCACACATGTACATAGAGGAAAGTAAAACTCAATGGAAATCAAGCAGGGGGGAGGTGGGAGGAGGGAATGGGTGAAAACATACCTAACAGATAACAATGAACACTATCTGGGTGATGGTCACACTTTTAACCCTGACTCAAGCATTACAAAAGTGATCCATGTAACCAACAACATTTGTACCTCCATAATACACTGAAATAAAAAACAGAGGAAGAAAAAAAAAGATGTAATAGTAAAAAACAAACAAAACATCCAAAAAGCAAAAAAAGAAGAAAAAGAAAATGGGAAACTGAATCTTTAACATACTACTTCATGGCATTTATCCTCCAATTAGCACTAATTCTTATACTATTGAAGATAATGATTACTGACATTATTCTTTCATGAGATCCCATCTTTTAGAATTTCCAAACCATAGTAGCTTTATAGATAATTGATTTTCATTTTTATAAGTATCTTAGATGTGCAGGATTAGGTTTATTGTTTCTCCACCTCTACCCCCTTTACAAATGTCATAGGGTAGGTACACTTTCTGTTTCTTTGCTTCATGAAATAATGCATTCAAGAAGGACAAGTTTTGTATCAGTGATAAGTCTGAAAACCACACTTTTAATTTTGAATAGTGTTTTTAACTTTTAAAACATGAAGTTCACTTTTATCATTTCAGTTTCTAGTCTTTAAGAAATATTTAGCATTATGCAAAATAGGTACACCTTTTTTCTACTCTTGTCTCAGATTTAATTTCAAACATTTTTTCTTCCTAATGTGTGTGTGTGAGAAAGAGGAAGAGAGAAACACAAGAGCAAGAGAATGTGTTCTTATTAAAATTAGGCCATAAAGCGATTCCACTTTTAGGAATTTATCCTAAGGGAACAATCAGAAATGGGCTCAATATTTTCCATAAGAATGATCACTGTAGCAATATGCATAATAGCACAAAACTGGGGACGGTCTTAAAATCCAACATAGGCTGGATGCTGTTTCTTGTGCTTGTAATCCTAGCACTTTGGGAGGTGGAAGTGGGAGGATTGCTTGAGGCCAGGAGTTGGAGACCAGCCTGGGAAATATAGCAAGACCCTGTTTCTAAAAAAAAAAAAAAAAAAAAAAAAATCCAACATAAAGTGCTGGTTTGATAAGTTATGGTGCAGAAATTCATTAAACTACTTGGAAGCCATTAAAATCATGTTACAGGATATTACTTAATGATGTGGAAACTTATAATTTATGAAAAACACAAATTGCAAAACAGTGTGGATAAGTCCTCTCAGTTCTTTAATGAAAGATATATATGAGCACAGAAGAAGATTTGAAGGCTATATATCAAAATTCTAACTGTAGTTGTCTCTGAGAAGTTTTTTCCTTGAAGAGACCATATATTGCTTTTATATTTAGGAAAATGTTTTCTTGATGTCTATACTGTATTACTTATCATTTTAATGGCTTCATTTTACATTTTATAATAGATGTTTAATAACTCTGTTCCTTTTCCTCTCATCTTAGTGTATACTATAGGTTTCCGTAATTTTAGTGTAATTAACCTAATGTTTACCTAGAGTCTTACATGCACAGAGAAGATAAAGAATCATTGTGTTATAAAGAATCATTGTGTTTATTTATGGTTGATGACTTTGTTATTTTAGATTAGGATACTTCAGAGCCCAGTACTAATTTTGGTCAGTCATGATTGCAGATAACTTTTTCCAATCTCACTTAGTCACCCTATCAAAGACTTGGGTCCCTATGACAGAAATAAAAAGCTCATTTTTTTTCTGAAAAGGGTAATACAATTTACATGTATTCTCTTACTATATGTATGACTTTGCTAGGCCTCCCCAGATTAAATACCACAGACTGGGTGGCTTAAACAACAGAAATTTATTTTCTCACTGTTTTGGGAGCTAGAAGTCTGAGATCAAGGTGTTAACAGGTTTGGTTTCTTCTGAGGCCTCCCCCTTTGGCTTGCAGATGGCCAGCCTCTCACTGCCTCTTCACGTGGTCATCCCTCTGCACGTGCAGGCCCCTGTTGTCTCTCTGTGTGTCCTAACTCTTCGTATCGAGACACCAGTCATTGGATTAGGGATCCCCCAATGACCCCCATTAACTTAATTACCTCTTTTAAGGCCATATCTCCAAATACAGTCATATTCTGAGGTACACCAGGTTAGGGCTACAACCCTAACCCAACCCTTAATGAATTGGGGGGACAATTCAATTCATAACATTATATATCATTTTTAATAAGTTTTTATGACAGAGTTAAAGTAATGATGAAGTAAATTTTTGTGAATTATTCATGGTTATTGTAAACTATTAATATTATAACATTCTAAAGAACTACAACTCTAAGTTACATGTGTGAGAATGTGGAAGATTGTAGATGAATTAGCACCAATTTTTTTTTTTAATCACCACTGAGAAAGTAACTCAAACTCTGTGACCTATTGACAGTTGGGTTCATTTATATAAAGAATAGTAACTTTCATTAAGTATTAATAAAATAGCACTATCAAATCAAATATTTAAAGAGCTATTAAGTGAGGAGGGATTAGAATTAAAGGGGGTAGAATTAAGATCGGTGAGCAAAAGATACGAAAAAATGTGCTTACTGAAATTTAGAACTACTGGAGATGGAATATGCAGACCTGAAGATTGGTTAGTTCTTTGTGACTGAAGTTATAAATTTGTTGGGCTGTTACAGAGGAAATTCATGTATTGAGTGTGGTTCTGGAGGGTGATTATTTTTCATTTGACCCCAGATTCTCTAATGTGCTATTTTTTTGTCTTACAAAGTTTAAGAACCTCAACTCTATATTACTAAAACAATTTAAAAATTACTTATTAATACTTTAAGATTTAGATTATCAAAAATGTCATTACATTAAATATTCTGAGGACTATATTGCTATTTCTTTTCCGTCTCCCTCTAGTGGGCAGAAAATATTTTTAAAATATAACATGGAAGGGTTTATTACTATTGGATGTATCACTATATACAGTCTCAGCTCTTTTGAAAAAAATTAAAAAATGTTAACATTTCAGAATCATTAAAAAAAATGCTTTATTTGTTATAGGCATAATAATGGATCCTTGAATGTTGAAGATGTTCTTACCAGCTTTGACAATACAGGAAATGTTTGTAAGTTATGTGCTCACTCTATAGAAATATATTCAGTATTTTAAAAAGTGAACTTATAGTTGGCTTTTTCCTCAGTGATGTTTACTATACTTACTGTGTGTATGTGTATTACAATACATGTATAAAAAATAGAAACTTGTCTTTTGGTGCAAAATAAGCCCTTACATAAGACACACCTACTAAATGGCATACAGCAGTTTTTACAGTTTGCAGGATTGTGTGTGTGTTTATGTATGTGGGACAGACTGTATATGACCTATATAGAATGTAGGTCAGAAGGAACACTGGACTCTCCAGTACTGTCCCTTTGTTTCTTGTTTCTGTTTTGACCTCCGTTAATTCAGCAGAGGGGCTGTTTCTTCCTTCTTTGCTGTTTTGTGTGCTTTCTTTGCCTCTCCCTGCTTCTCTGCCCTTTCACTACATAATAAACCCAGAACATATTTTCTTTGATGCTAATATACTTTAATACCAGAGTGTTTTTGTTTAATGCAATATTACAATATGATCGAATATATTGACTTTTTATCTAAGCCTCTGATTAAATGGTGGTAGATTTCTCCTCTGAGAAAAATCACTTAAATAATTCTTATAATTAATGTCATATGGTAGAAGAAATCAGCCAAGAATATCTTGATGTTGCTGAGTTAAACAACATACCATGACAGGAGCTGTGCACTTTTTTATATTTTTTCATATGGGATATTTCTCTTAAGATAGTGCCTTGTCAATGAACATGACCATTTTAAATGTAAAAGTAGTACTCTAATACTTTTTTCTCAAAGGAAATTTTGGAACTGTATTTTCTGAATTTAAATAACATATTTTGCTAACAGTGCAGCTTTATCAAATGCATAGATTTGCATAGAGTTATGTCCAGTAATAGGCAATACTTTCATTCTTATGTCTATATTATGACAAGCTTTTGATTTTATAGAAAAATATTCATGTATTTTGTTACCAAGGAACCTATAAATGTACTAAAATTACCCTAGAATATTTAAAATAATGTAGGTTTCTTCTTTAGGCATAGCAACAGGTGTACCTTTTAGTTTCTATTAATACATGTTGGCACTTACTGAATTCTTTAACACTTAGGCATATCTCATATTTTTATTGTGGCTAGAAAATAGCCCACCCTTGTCTAGGCAAGGACTGGACAAGGGATGATAATGGTGGTCGAGGAGACATTTTCCTTCAGTTCTGGGATACTGTTAAATATCATTGTCAGGCTTATGCATACGTAATTTCAGAATATGATCCTGGAATGTTAAATGCAGAATTTTTGACTCAGTAATGAAAAAGTCAAGTATTGTTCTTAGTTGACTCAGTATGAAATAGGGCCACTAGCTGGCAGCATTATGTAAAATGAAAACAATTTCCTAGAAGTCTAGATTATTATTTTAGACATGAATAATTATCTTATCCTTCTCTAACATTTTTTCCCGTAACTTGTTCTATACCTCACTCCTCTGCTTCCCCTCTGCTTCCCCCTGCTCCCGAGTTTTTGTTGCATTAACAAATGGAAAGATTGTATATTAAGGGTATTTTTTCACTGCTGTCTATTGTTTGGTAGAAAGGTTTGAGACTTTGGAATGAGACTCACCTGCATTTGGATCCTGGCTCTGAAATGCATTTGAGCAATTTTTATCATCTCTATGAACCTCAATTTTTTTTCATCTCTTAGGACTGGATATAATATATAGAAAGTATATAACGTACCACATGCCTCAGAGTTGACACTCAGTAAATGGAAGCTATTTATTAATTGTTACTGGTGATGAGTACCTCTAAAACTTCTTTCAGTTTTTTTCTAATAAAGAATATCGTATTATTAAGGATTATTCTGATGTTTTAAACTATTTTGATTGAACTAGCAAGACAGGAAAATTAGATAAAATTACCAAAATGTAATTTATTAAAATGTCTTGTGATAATATAGCGTTAAAAACCTGAAAATATTGCCAAGTGATAGAGTGGAGACAAAATAAGACTTATTAAAATATGTTGCTTGGTGTATCTTTTTAATTTACTCTTTTAATTTTAAAAGAAAAATCTATATTGATGTTTCACTTAATGATAAATTGGTAAAGTCCCATTCCAATAAAGTAAATATTGATTATAATCTGTATATGATCTTGATCATAAAATATTCATGGATTGAAAAAGTCATTTTTCACTTGATGCCTCAAAAATCTGATTTTATTTTGCTAATAGTGATATTAAGTTGAGT